AAAAAAAACTATTTTCATGACATTTACATGCATAAATCTTACTAGATGCAGCAGTCGAGATCATTAGATTGGTGACAGAGGGAGTATCGCCATACATCCATTTGAAAGTGAAAGCAAATGAGTAAAAATCATGATCCTTCATGAATACATTTCACAGGTTTCTCTTATATACACTGTAAAAAAAACTCTGTATTTATGGTAAAAATCCAACAGCTGTGGTTGCCGAAACTTTACCGTAAAAAATATGGTAGCGACGTTTTAGGTTTTACAGTTTTAACTTAAATTTACAATTACATACCGCAATTTCATTAACTGATATAATGTTGATATACCAACCTATTGAAGTACTGAAATCTGTTTTGTACCTTTGTAAAACACTGATAACCACCAAATGCAGGGGTTGATGAGAAAGTCACATAATTAATCAAAGCCCATCACAAGCAGCTTTTAAATAACAACATATATAGAGGGTGCACAGTGTCATTCACACAAATGCTAAACACCATCATGGTAACACACTATACTGAAATAATGCAATAAACATTCATTTAACAACATTAGGTGTAACACACAACCCTAATATACAAAACTGATAAGAAAAAACTAAGAAGAAACATAGTTATTTCAACAAAAAAACATCAAATTTGAAATGTAACACAGGGAATTCTGGGAACGCCGATTTACGGTTATTCACTGTAAATTATACAGTTTTTTTTCACTTCCAAAAAACGGTATACTACCGTAAAATGAATGTCCAATACATGTAATGTCCAATACAGTTTTTCACCGTATTTAGTAGGGGAATTTACCGTTAACCATTTAACAGGTTTTTACTGTAGCATTTTTACAGTCTTTTACCGTTAAATTCACGGTCATTTTTTACAGTGTAGGTCACAAGAGCTGAACTCAAAGACCTGCATATGACAGTGAGCAAGACACACAAACTCTTATTTCACTGAGTGTGTAGCGCTCCCGAGTGACAGATTTAAAACATCTGATTCCCATTTTGAGAAAGGGAATTTTGAATGATGTTAATTCTATAATAATTAGTGTTTTCAGACATGAATATCAAAGTTTCACATGCTGTATTGGTTGTCAAGATCAATATTCTGATGTAAAAACACTGGACAACCACTGCTTTAATACAACTTTGATATTAACAGGTTAATTTAATCCTGGTCTTTTCACATATTGCAGTGCATTAATTTATTCTTTCCTTGTGAAAAGGTCAGTATAATTTGGTGTTTGTTTGTTTAGCAAGGATGCATTAAATTAATTATTAGTTTAATTAGTTATTTCTTGAGCACAAGATCATCAGAATAATTTCTGAAGGATCATGTGGCACTCGCTACATTTACATATAACCAAATAATCCGTTTGTAATCGGATTGCCGGCTCAATCGGACCGAAAAGCCTTCATGTGAACACCTTAATCGATCCGATTGAGCTCGATCGGATTGAAGGTGGTGGTTTATTCCTTTTCTAATACGATTGAGAGTGCATGTAAACACTCGATCGGATTGTACCCCGAAACTGAAAGGACTGCGCATGTGCAAGCGTAATGACATATGACGCGCGGAACGAACGGCTCTTCCTTTTGAATAGAGTGTTGTATAGATGCTTGTCCTGTCATTATAAAACTCTCCTTTCACTTGGCAACTGTGAAGTGGAGCAGGACAACCTCCCACCATTCCTTGTTTTGGATTCTCATCCACTGGCAACCAGTTTTGGGCACGGGGAGGGGCATTTTTACTGCGTGATAAATATGAGTAGCAAGGCACAGCGGTTTATATTTATACATAAATGGATAAATATGAATTCTACTGTTAAAAACAAATAAAGAAACCGTGTAGGAGTGGTTATTATGTGCAAACAGTGAAAAACTCTATATTTGTGCAGTGTGCACATGTAAAAAAAAAAAAAAATCAATTCCGATTTGAAGCTTGTGACACATAACCCGATCACTTTCTTTAGTTCATGTAAACACTACATTCAGATTCATCAATCGGAATTAACTCAATCCGATTGAACCAAAAATTGTGCATGTAAACGTAATGTGATACTGAAAAATCAGCTTTGCCATTACAGGAATAAATTACATTTTAAAATATTTTCAATATATAGAAAATTGTTATTTTGAATTGTAATAATATTTCACAATATTACTATTTTGACTGAATTATTTTATCAAATAAACACAGATTTTGTGTGCATTAAGAATTCCAAAAGCATTTTAAAAAACCGGTATAGTGTTTTCCTCATATTATGGTGTGAGTTTTAACACTGAGTTCAAATACCCCAGAAGAAATCTCAAGGGGTTTAAATGCAGCAGTAGTCCACTACAGTTGGCTCGCTGGATGATGCTGATAAGGTGTTTGGTGCTGAGATCTCTCCTAGTGCCAGTGTGGGTCCTGATGAGAACCTTCCTTCTGCCCTGCCATGATAACTGGATGCTCCTGTCCCTGATCAAATCTGTTTGCTTTGCAGCAGGAATGTCCTTCAGGCTATATGACACACAGCCTTACACACTCATTCTGCCAAGAGTTTATGTATGTGTGCTGCAGAGTGTACCTGGAAAGAGAAGCATTTTTATTTATTTATTTTATTTACCCCTTTGACCACATTTGATGTCAATAATGTATTAATTCAACACCAAGTAGTAGTGCTGTAGACACAAAAGTTTGGGAAACACTAATAATATAATATAGTCTAAAATGATTTGAATCCTTATGAGACAAGCAAACACATTAACAACCTGAAATGGCTTTCTTTGTTCTTACTGTTTTCAGAATTACACGAAACAGGAAGACAGGCAGGAAGTGGTAAAGTGTTTCATCTACGTAATCAAGGCGGTGTTAGTCGTGAAGGACTGACACTAAAAAGTCTTAAAATAAATACGTAGGATTATTTAAAAGTAAACGTGGGACATCTGGAAAAGCCAAAGGGTGAGGTGTAAGGTTGTGTGAGATTTCCAATGTGTGGTCAACAAGTTCAGAGGTTGGGTGGCCTTACAGTGGAGCAGCTGTCACACTGTCTTTTACCATGACGAGATCAGGTGCCTTCAAACTCAGCATTGTCTTCTTTCTCGCCTTCATCCTGTGTCTACCAGAGTTTTTTCCAGGTAAGTAAAAAAAAACCGAGTAAGATGGCTTGGGGTCTTCAAGCGTGAGGGAGGGAAATGTGGCAGTAGTGTGGGTTTTTTTGTGAGCACGTGCGATTCAGAGCAAATATTGCTAAATGTTTCTATGATTGACAGCATGAAACTTCAGTGTTGTCCATGTCTTTTAGAGGTACACAATGAGGCATGTGCATTGTTACCTTCTGTATGTCTTTGTTCCAACAATATTAAAGTTTAAAACTGGATAAATCCCTCTGTCACAGGTGACTACATCATTGTGGTCTGGACATGGTATGGTAAGGGGTGTTAAAAACCACTTGAGAGAGAGAGTGTGTGTGTGTGTGTGTGTGTGTGTGTGCATAAATTTGTATAATGACAAAGGTATGACATAGGTATTACAAGGAGAAGGTGACTTTTCAAAAACGCTTAGAAATCACACAGAATGGAGTGTATTGAAAATCTGAAATAGCACAAAGTTACCTGTGAGGGGTAGGTTTAGGGGTAGGGTTGGTAAAGGGCAATAGAATATACGGTCTGTACAATATAAAACCATTAGGTTTTAGACTGTCTATGAGCAAATTACTCATTCATCCTCATTCTGTCCTTTTAAAACAAGGTTGGTGTGTTGTAAAACAGGAAATGTCACTCTAACTTACCAACAGTAACAGAAAAGATAAAACAGGAAGAACATCGCAAAATATTAAATACAGTTTTAAATGTGTGATAATGGGGTCAGATGATAGAGGAAGTAGCACAATTAGCAAATGATAATAACTTTAAATTTTTGCTGTAATTATTAAAACCTGTTATTTTAGTGTTTAGTGTCTGTGTAAATGATGTTGGATGATAGATAGGTCAATGATCTATTAAAGTGCCCCTATTATGGGTAATGAAAGGTTCATATTTTGGTTTTGGGAGTCCCCAACAACAGGTTGACATGCATGCAAGATCAAAAAACACTTTCATTGTCTTATAATATGCATTTATTTTTACCTTACTTGCTCAACGACTCCCAAACGATTCGTTTAACAATTCATTTTTCCAAACCCCTCCTTTGCGTGACGCTAATCTGCGGTGATTGGTCCGATTGGTCTCATTTTCATTTCATTATGCCTGTAATGCCTGATAAAGCAGCGTTTGTGAGAGGCAATGCTGCTTTGTGTACAGCTCTTACCGGGGAAACTGCTATTTTACCGCTCCAAAAGTGGCACCTAGTGGCATAAAATGAATTAGCATTTTCATTCAGACCAACCTGAAAAGACCAACAAGTGGGCGGGCAATATGCTAATGTTTCATGTTGACGTCAACATGAAACGGCTTGGGATTTGTTTTAAAAACGACTCGTTTAATGATTCAGAATCGACTCTTTCTTTTGAGAGACAATCACTTTATACACGGTGCACTTTCAGATTTAAAATTTTGCAGGATGTTTTCATTCACCTAGAGCTGTGTTACGCACTGCATGAAAGGTAATTTTCAAAAATCCATAATAGGGGCACTTTAATTAAAAAGAAAAATGTAAAATATATGAAAAAATTAATACATACAATGGCTTGAATACACCTCTTCTATGACAACCTTGTTTTAAATTTCTGAATTAAAATTAATTTTGATATTTTTGGGGGTGGGGCTATGAAGTCAAAAATATCAGGGCCATACAAATGTCCAGAAATCATATTGAAGAAAAACTAATTGTAATATAATGCATGTTTCTTTAAATGATAATGAGCTCTGGTCGCCCCGCCCCTCGTGTTACCATTAAAAACAAAACTAATCCACTATGTCCTCAGTGGATCAAATGTTGGGATACAATAAAGACTCTTATGTTCACTTTTACATCCAACTTCAAAACACCTGCATTGCTTACGAGACATTGTTGTCGCTACAGTCTCTTAAACGCGAAGAAAATGGCGGACAGCGTACAGGTGGCTGAGGGCGGAAATATGCTAATACAGGACAGTCCGTTAGCGGTCCTGGGCGGGGCCTGAACAGTATGATGTCATACTGCTCAGAAAATCATGCCTGAAAATTGAGACTGTTTAGGTTTTTTGAGGATTAAGAAATAGAAGTGAATGGATTTTTATCATTGTAGGGTGGTTTGTGTCCACACTGCTAAGACACATTTATATGCAAACACCATGTACAGTAAAAGTGAATTTTGCATCCGATGTCCCCTTTAAGAACTTAAATGCTGGTAACATGGGTTTAAGAACTTTTTCTTTTCTTTACTGTAGACACAGAATGTATTGTATTTTAAACAGAATGTGTTTTAAATTATTAAAATCTGAAGTAAGAGCATCTTTTTTTTTTTTGGTTCTCAGAAATATCACAAATTGAGTTTCTCTGTGAGCTGTTTGACCCTTGCACTCCTGAAAATGATGCACAGGTGTGTACTCCGGCTGACCCTCCATGTGAGACAGAAACGATAAATGCCAGCATTCAAAACATACATGCTGATGGCTGGTATCTGTGTAAGACTGAAATGGATCTGCAGCTTCTCTACAACAATACCTCACAGTCAGGTGGAATGTTTTTTTTATTATATTATATTATATTATATAATATATTATATTATTGTCTACAGTAATAATCAATAATACTAACTGTGTGCATGTTGTACATTTCATAGGAGAGCATATAAAGGTGGTACTGAAAATGAAGGCAGGCAATCTCTCTGGATGGAACATTGATGTGTTTGCGTTTCTCAACAACACTGATCTGTACACTGGACCCCAAAATGACCAGAGACTCTTCTACTGCTACCTCCCACCAGACGACAGCAAATGTCCAGATCTGGACATATCTATGCATGAAAACACCAGCACTCCGACACAAGACACCTCGATTTTAAAAACCATTACTTCTGCAAACCCAGCCGCCTCGTCGCTCAAAACAACTACACTATCTTTCCAAGCAACAGCTTCTACGAATGAGCTGAGGTGCCAACCAGCCAGCAGCAGCAGTTTCCTCTTTTACTACCAGGAGCAAAATGAAACAGCAAGATCAGCTGCATTTCCAGCGACGCAAACAAGAAGAGGTGAGAAACTGTCAGAAAACTGCTGTCTGCAACAATGCTCTGCTACACAGAAGACAAAATACAATAAACCTGACCTTGACCTTAAGTCTAAGTCTATCTTTTCTACTTCTCAAGCAACATTGCACTTTTAGCATTTTTTTATTATTTATTTAATGATTTCGTTTCAGGACAAAAGTTCAGAGAGCAAATATGCGAGGAACAGAAAGAAGATATACATGCAGAGATACATACAGACACTCACTGTAGATCCTTGGGCCTGCACTATACTGTATTACAATATTGTATTTTATATGTTTGATATATTGATATATGGCATATATTCATTCTGACATTAAAATGTATGACAACAGTCAGAAAAAAAATATTTATTTAAAAATAATTTTATATATATATATATATATATATATATCAGTGTGGTTGGCTCTGGTACTGACTGTGGTTGTGGTGACACTAGTGAGTGTGGTCAGCCTGATCTTAAAGAGCAGAAAATGTAGTGAGTATCACTTCAACAAAGCAAATCTAGTCAGGCCCAACAGCCCTTTGGCACATCATGAACGTTTCAACTTGGAATCCATAATTCACAATGCATCCACATTAGATTTATTTATACAGATCTATCTCATTTTGGTCTTCTCACTTTAGGAAAGTCCAGTTTGGCCGTATTTGTGCCGGTTTCAGCCAGTGAACATCAGTTCAAAGAGCTCAGGAAACAAAAAGGAAATTGTGAGTAACTAAAAAGTTTATAGAGCCACAAATATTTTCAATCATTGTGCTGATTAATTCTCTCATTTTTACTTTCAGTAATGAGAGATGCCCCTGATGTGTCCATAGCAATATGCAGCATAAGTGGTAAGCAAGTGTTTATGTCTTATGATTGTTAGGCAAATGTGTCTTTTTTTAAAGCAACTATTCTTCATTTGTGTAAATAAATATCTTACAAAAAGTACTAGTGCCATGGCACTAAGTTATTGCCATGACCAAGGAACGTGGAGGACTACCCTGAAGGCTCCCATGGTATTACCATAAAAACCATGTTCAAAAATATGCTAATGCATACTTTTTTGTGTGTGTGATGCTTTTTTTGTTAGTATTATTTTGAGTTTTAGTGCTTTCAGTGTCCAGTAAAGAAATTGGTGAATAAGTGAACTGGATAAAGGAAACTGGAAAATATATTGACAAGGCATTATACATGTAGATTGCTAATAACACACAGCGCTTGTGTGTCCTATTTTTATATCATTTTTATATTTTCAATTATTTCATAAGTTATTAAAGGCTGATCAATTTCAGTCTCTTTCATCTCTGCAGATGGTGCTGTATTCTCTCAGATCTCTTCGGTGGAGAACAGAACAGATGGTAAACAAACAACCTGTTCTATCATTCTGCACCCAGAAGAGATATGTGCTTTATCACAAAGCTGTGAAGTAACCTTACATCTTTAACCAGCACTGAGTTTCCTTACTTCTCCAGACCACTAACTCTCCATCTATACTTTCCCAGAACACCTTCTGAAGGTAGCGGACCTCAAGAGAAGTAAGTTTTGGGATATTTTTATGCAGTGTGACAGAGTACAATAATTACAGGCGTAGAGTCCCTGAATTTATTTAATAATGAAAATTCTGTCATCCTTTATTCACCTCATGCTGTTCCAACCAGTTGACTTTCTTTTTTCTGTGGAATATAAATAAAGATGTTTTGAGAATGTTCATGCTGTTCATTTCCATATAATGAAAGTGAATGGGGTTTAGGGGATGGCAAGCTTTAAAGGGACACAAAAGCACATATTATGTGACTCTTCTGGAGCCATATGATAACTTTGTGTGCCATGGGCTGTGGTCACCATTCGCTTTAATTGCATGAAATAGCAGACATTCTGCTAATTCTATTTTTGTTCCCTTTAAGAAACGTTCAATTTTTGGTTGAACTATTTCACACACACGCACACAACAATGTATGTACAGTGTGTGTGTGTAGATATTCACATCCAGTGTATACTGGATGAGACTATATAAATTGTATCTGTATTTAGTCTCCTATACAGTATATTCCCTTATAGAGTCATGGCCTGTGTGTGTAATATTTTATAATTGTCTCTCATGTTTTAGGAATGTCACCAATCTATGAAATTACAGGTATGAATGGGATGCACAACACATTTATGTATATATATATATATATATATATATATATATACTGTAATACTGTGTATATATATATATATATATATACAGTATATATAAGCAAGCTCTAATCTGCTAAATGCAACCATGTATATGCCTTATAAGGCATTCATTTATCTGTAACATTGCTTTAAAACAATATGCATTGAATTGTTTGAAAAGGGCTATTCAAAAAATAAAATAAATAAAAAATTGCTTAAAATTTGTTTCCAGAGTCCTCATTAGATGAAGAAGAGCAAAATAAAGATGAGGAAGAGGGGCAATGCAATGTCTCAATAACAAAGGAAGGTAAACATATATCTACAAAACAAACTGTGTGCACTTCATGAAAATGAAAATTATAAATAAAAGATGTGTATTGTTTTCCTCTTTATAATGGTGATAATTTATTAGGTTGGATAAAAAAATGCCCCAAAAGTCAAAACCCTCAAGCATGTCATGTGTTTTTTAATATTAAACATAGCATTTGTATGCTTTAAATTCAATGTAAGTGGAGACTTTACAAAGCAAATTAATACTTCAAAAAGATGTCCTCACTGATTTCTTCATCCATCAGCTGATGTAACACTAGACTGATGTCTGATGCTATGCTCTTGGCATTTTGATGTCACTACTAGCTCCTATCCAGTGTAGCCTGAAACAGTTTTTGAATCTTGCATAATGTCTCATCCGATCACATTGATGATCACACAAGCTGATGATCGGTAGATCTTTGATGCCAGTATGTTGCTTGGGGCAGAATAAATTACACTACAGATGGCCTCCTGGCTGTCTAATGCTGCCATGGTTATAGAATTCTACAAGATACATTTTTAAATAAATATTGTTATTTTTACAGAGTTTAAAAAGTCAAATCAGCTCCAACATCTGGCAGCACAGGGCCACTGTGAACCACCTAGTAAGTGACTATGTATGATTCAGTTACTCAATGAATTATGTAGATGCAACAAGTATTAATTTAATATGTTTGTTTACACTCTTTCCCATTCTGTTTTTTTCCATCTCCAGCTTACCTGCATCATCGAAGCTTTTCTTGTTCCGGTCATGAAGAAGATGGGGGAGCTTTAACAATTTAAATCTAAAGCCGCGTTTCCACTGCAGGAACTAGTGACTTTGGGCCGGTACTCAGTGTGTTTCCACCGCAGGAACCAGGATCTAAATAAAGTTCCGGGTAAAAAATTGCCCCTCAGAATGTCCCTGCTCGCGAGGTAGTATTTTTTCAAAGTTCCGGAACTTTCGGGGGCGGGAATTGAGCGCTGAACATGCTGATTGGTTGAGTTCACGCAGCATTGTATTTCAACCACTATTTGCATATATACATATTTTTTAATATTACTGTTATTGTGTCATGAAATGTAGTTTTAAAAGTATTTCAGGTGAGAATGTAGTTGTTTAAAACTCAAATATGCTGTTTATTTATAAAAACAGCGCCTATTTGAAAATGTGCTTAGCCGATTTCGGAGACGGGAGCTCCACGAGATCAGCCCAGTAGCCGGCGCTCAGTGCTCATGTTTCCTGACGAAAGCAGCAATCTAAAGCCGCGTTTCCACTGCAGGAACTAGTGACTTTGGGCCGGTACTCAGTGTGTTTCCACCGCAGGAACCAGGATCTAAATAAAGTTCCGGGTAAAAAATTGCCCCTCAGAATGTCCCTGCTCGTGAGGTAGTATTTTTTCAAAGTTCCGGAACTTTCGGGGGCGGGACTTGAGCGCTGAACATGCTGATTGGTTGAGTTCACGCAGCATTGTATTTCAACCACTATTTGCATATATACATATTTTTTAATATTACTGTTATTGTGTCATGAAATGTAGTTTTAAAAGTATTTCAGGTGAGAATGTAGTTGTTTAAAACTCAAATATGCTGTTTATTTATAAAAACAGCGCCTATTTGAAAATGTGCTTAGCCGATTTCGGAGACGGGAGCTCCACGAGATCAGCCCAGTAGCCGGCGCTCAGTGCTCATGTTTCCTGACGAAAGCAGCCTCAACTCCCGTTATACTCTTACTTGAATGTGTATCTGCACTTTGTTGTTTATGATGTGAGAAGTCAGCTAGCGCGTGCACTGAACAAAACACCGCGTTTCAGGGATGACTCATCTGAACGCTGCTGATTGGCCACTGCGTTCATAAAAACAACAAAATCGTGTGTGATTGGCTATAATGCGCAATGCTGTAAAACGCGATAAGAAATAAGATGCAACACGAGTAGATCAAAATTTGATGTCGCAATCAACACTTTTCATTTAATTTCACTCACAAGCCATAATGGATTTAGTTTAATAGTGTTGTTGGGCCATTTTTGTCCCATGCCCCTATTAATTTCCGCCCTGTGGCCAGCCACACAAGCTCTGACCAAGCATTGCAATAACAAAGCAAGTTCGGCATCAGTTTTTAAGCACTTTCCCTGTTTATATTAGCAAAATTTTGCAGGAAAAAAAGGTCCACTCTCAAAAATGTTTTGCAAGGGCGTTGGTTTACTTTTGACATTGGTGGCGACATAACACAGCAGAATAAATAACATTTATGAAACAGTTGTTGTCAGATTTTATTGGTGATTTCAAATATGAAATTTAATCGTAAGCTTGGTGTTCAGTGTTGGAGAATTTGATGTTTCCCCTTTCGAAGAGATAGGAGCTACACTTGCATGCCGAGAGGCCTTTCAAAGATGGCCGCCGAGTGACTTGCCCTAAAGGGATTTTTTTGGTGATATTTCAGCTAAAAGTTTGCTTTGTACATTCAGTTTAACAATATTAAGTTAAAGTTAAAGACTGCCCGCAGCGACTCAGGATGCTGTTCCAAATCCTGCCGCTCCACTCACATAGTTTTCCATAAAATCACATTATATTTGTCCCAAATTATTGTTAATGTACATAATGGAAGTTTGTGTATTGAGCATCTTTCAGCACAACGTTTGTCTTTCTGTCCGTATGCTTTATATAGAGTATTATAATAATAGCCATAGATCGCGCTTTCTCTTTCCGTTTTCTGTTTTGTCAAACACCGTACTTCAAACTATCTTTTGGACTGCTGTCTTGAAATCGGTGCAATACCTGCGAGTTGTCCTAGATGCGGCGCTGCGCTTACATTCTTCAGTGTCCTTGAAAGTGCGCCATTTTTT